GCATGAGGGTGGGATACTCTTGGTAGCTTGTTGGGCTCTCCGAGAGGGGCAGAGGAATCGAACCCGGGTCGGCCCGCATGCAAGGCAAACGTCCTACCCGCTGTGCTATCGCTCTGCCCCGCTGCATTGCGTACAGGCATAAAACGGAAACTTTTTGAAATGTTTGGGTCAGTTGTCCTCTTAGGTTAGAGATTATGTCTGTGGCACCCACTTGAGAAGAACATTGTTTCTGGTGTGTTTACAACTACCAGCCTGTCAGATTGTTTGGCCACTGGAAGCTGAAGGGTGTGTCCTACAGAGTGGGGCCAAAGGCATGAGTACTCGGGTGACTCAGACCTAGAGACCATCATGGGAGAGCTGTGATTGTGACCTGTTGGGCCAAGCTGATACTGGGACCTTCTGGGGAAATGTTCATGTCCAGAATGACTACTCCCAATATGAGCCAGATATGATGGTACCACCCTTTTTGGGTTTAACACGTCCTAACTGTTATGATAGCTAAATTTCAGTCCAAGACAGCCCAAGAGCTCAGTAGGAAGCTGCCAAGGGAGGGCAAGGCAGGACTGTATCAGTGCCTGTAAGGGTGCAGAAAGGCTGAAATTACTGGATGTGTCTTTCCTTGGTAATGACTTTCCCCATTCATAATGGAGTGGCAGCAGACTATTGTGCTCACAAGATCAAAATTTGTTAGCAACTTAGTCCCAATCTAAAAGTGATATTTTATAAGTCCTTTGCATTCATCTCTCTCTCATCCTAGGTTGGTATTTTCTGTCTAGTGCTGACTGCCAGACTTTCAAGTCCCTATTCTTTCTCTCTTTTTAAAAATTTTTTATTAGTGAAACACCATGAGGTACAGCTGTAGACTTACAAATTTTTGTGCTTGGGTTTCAGTTATACAATAATCGAGTACCCATCCCTCCACCAGTGCCCATTCTCCACCACCACTGATCCTAGTATCCCTCCCAACCCCCCCAGCCCCCCCATCCCACCCTGCCTCTGTGCAGGGCATTCCCTTTTGTTCTCTCTCTTCTTTGGTTGCTGTCGTTTTCAAAAGAGGCATTGAGTAGCAATCATATTTGGTCTATAGTCTACTTTCAGCATGCATCTCTCATTCTGGGAGGATCCCCCCAACACCCTTTATTTGGTACTCCCTTCTCTTTCTGAGCTGCCTTTTCCCCTAGCGTGTGTGGCTGGCCTCCAAGCCATGGAGTAAACCTCCTGGTACCTATCTCGGCTATTCTTGGGTGTTAGTCTCCTATTTTGTTACTTTATGTTCTCCAGATGAATGCAATCTTTTTATGTCTGTCCCTTTCTTTCTGACGCATTTCGCTTAGCATGATACTTTCCATGTAGTACCACTTGTATGTAAATTTCATGACTTCATCTTTTCTAACAAGTCTCTATTCTCTTAAAGTCTCTGCTTTTCCCCTTCCCAGACACTTTTCTCTGGATATTTCCATAATTATTCTTCTTTGAGTTTAGTATCTCTGAGATGATGACTGTTTTCTCAGTGTGAAACCTTGTGGAGTGCTGTGCTCCATTCACCTTTTATATGCTTTCTATTGATATCTCAAAAGTCTTAAGAGGACTATTCATTTTTGACCATCCTAACACCCCTTTCCAGAATGAAATTTTTTTAGCACAATCTATCATCTAAGTATTAAAGACACGCATACAAATAGAAATTGAACTCAGAAAGTAACTGCTGTAAAACCCTAAATTCCTGATACCTGAAGAGTAAATGTAGATGCAGTTTGTTCAAGAAAGAAGAGATTTTTAATGAAGTAGGAAGTGATACTTTTCTATGAGCAATAGTCCCCACTGCCATTCCTTTCTCTTAAAGTTCATACTAGAAGATCCACTTGAGAAAGAGACCACCAACATGCTAGTGGTTAGCTTTATAAATTCATTAGACAACTTTTACCCAAATTTAATATAAGTGAAGTTTACAATAAATCCATCAAGAAAAGAAGACTGCTATCTGCCTATATAAAGGAGAGAGTTGAAAGATTTAGATATCAGGAGTTGCTATATCTTTTTTTGTGGAGGCCACGCCTGGTAGTGCTTGGAGTTTACTCCTGACTCTGCACTCAGGATTCATTCCTAGCAGGATCAGAAGAACAGATGGGGGTTCTGGGGGTTGAACCTGGGTTGGCAGTGTGCATAAAAAGCACTCTACCCACTGTATTATCTCTCTTGACCCTGAGTATTTGTTATAGCTTAAAGGTGGTTTCAGGGTCATATAAAACTTTGAAATTACTCTGGAATTTCCAGATAGTAGTACCAGTGCCAGGACACTTTTGTGAGAAGTAGTTAAATGCAGAAGAGCCATGAAGTAAGGTGAAAATATGTCTTTGCAGTTTCAAAACTGGCTAATATATTAGGAATCAGTACAGAGGAAAATTAATTCACACTAATGATCTAGTAAAGGTACAAATAATGTGCAGTTCTAAAAAGGCTGAACTACAAACACTCTTTGATGAATAAAATAATGTCTTCAATTTTTATGAGGAGAGTCAAGATGTGAAGTATAAAAAATGAAAAATCCTATTCAGTGACTCAAAGGTTTCTTAATACTAATGTGTTCAAACAAAAAGGCCATACATCAGAGAAATTTAAGCTTCTTTAATAGTAAAAACAGAATTATATTGCTTCTTTGTGGAATTCTGGGAAATTTTTCTTTGATACCAATACCAAGATTTGGAAAATAAAAGTTGCTTCAGGCTTAAAATATAAATGTCACTGGGGAAGATAAAAATGATGTTAATTATATGTGGTCTATGATGAGAAGGATGTATCCTTATTATACAAACTCACATATTAATACCTATTTCAAAGACTATTGTTTGAGTTCTAATTTAGATGACTTAAGAATAGAGTTAAAGCTTCTTTTCAGGGTTAACAATAAAAATTGCCAATAAATACTGGCAATTTCTATAATATTCAGAGAATCTAAGATATGAGAGGGCTAAACATTAGGCCACATAAGATGCTAAGATTAAGGTGTCAGACCCAACAAACAGTACAGTGAAATTAATTACTTAAAATGCTGTCCATACATTAATAATGGTGACATAGATTAGAATGAACTATATATGCATACATATACACACATATACACACACATATATGTATATATATATATATATATATATATACATATATATGGAAGAGAGGGAGAGAGAGAGAGCTAGACCCAAGAATCCTATTAAGAAGTTATTGAGCTTAACCCAATAAGGCAAACCTGAGACAACAATGCACAAGACAACAAAATTTGTTTATTTCTTAAGTTCAATTGTGAAAAATAAGAAGTGTGTGAGGCAAATTTGGATTTGTTGATCCAAAGCCTCTGTTGAACAACAGAGGATTATGTTCTGCAGTAATTTTGAAAATAAAATAGAAAATGTCATCTTAGACTGCTCTATGTCATTGTTCCCAAGGCATGTTCCAAGAATTGCTTATTATGCAAATTATTAATAGATTGTATAAAGACCAACCTTTCTGGTTTAATACATTTTGTAAATTATATGTAAATAAGAATTACGATTTTTTGGGCTGTAATATATGGAATGCATTGTGACTCTCTAAAAGAATTACATATTATGATTATTTATTTTTTATCAAATTCCTTATTTCTCAGGAGTATATTATAATAGTGGAGAGCCTGGCAAGCTACCGAGAGTATTTGATATGCCAGACACAGTAACAACAAAGTCTCCAATGGAGACGTTACTGGGCCCGCTCGAGCAAATCGACGATCAACGGGAGGGCCTTTACCTTTACCTATATTATAATAGTGATTTGTTAGTACACATTTTGATAAATTAATAAGAAAAGCAATTATAGTATATAAAATGGTGATCAGATCCCATTTTGTTTGTGTGATAGAAGTTCAGCATCATATTTTCATATTGGAAAACTGTTAATTGAGTAATTAAGATTATGTCAAATTTATTTTGAAAAGACATGCCAGAAATGATAAACAGATAAAAAGTTAGTTATCTAACCAGAAAACATGAGATAATGGTCTGAAAATCGTTAGAGGTTTATTATGTAGATCTAGGATTAGTAAGACAGGGAAAGAGATTTTGGGTTTGCATTAGAATAAATTTCTAGTCTTTAAAATTAATCTAGATATTCCAAACTTCAAAGGTATTTCAGAGTTTTACTCATCTGCAATACAGTCATGGTTGTCTATGGAGAGATGATATTGTGTAAGGATTGGATTGTCAGTTGATATTGCCCAACTTTGGGGATGTTAATGAAAAGAATGCAAAAGAAGTGCTTTACAGACTTTCTTTCTTTTTCTTTTTGTATTGAATTGCTGTGAGATACAGTTACTAAGCTTTCATGTTTGAGTTTCAAACAATGTTTGAACACCCATCCCTCCACCAGTGCACATTCTTCATCGCCAATGTCCCCAGTATCCCTCCCCATCCAACCTCTTCCCCTGCCTCTATGGCAGAGATTTTTCCCCATACTCTCTTTACTTTCGGGCATTATGGTTTATAATACAGATACTGAGAGGCTACCTTCTAGAACTCCAAAGGACCCCTGGCACAGACTTTCTTAACACTCAACTTTTATTATTTGTGTCTGCTCTTTCCCTAACACTGTCTCAATATTAGATTTTTATTTTTCTTTCCTTATCTGATCTCTTTCTCAAGTTTAGGGCTGGAGCGATAGCACAGCGGGTAAGGCGTTTGCCTTGCACGCAGCCAACATGGCCGACCCGAGTTCGATTCCTCTGCCCCTCTCGGAGAGCCCGGCAAGCTACCGAGAGTATCTCGCCCGCACGGCAGAGCCTGGCAAGCTCCCCGTGATGTATTCGATATGCCAGACACAGTAACAACAAAGTCTCCAATGGAGACGTTACTGGGCCCGCTCGAGCAAATCGATGATCAACGGGAGGGCCTTTACTTACTTACTTATACTAATATTTAAAATACATAATCTGTATAATTATAATTAATTTTCAAATAAAACCAGTAAATACTCACATCAAAAATTTTCTTGACTACTTCCATCTGGATTTTATCAAAAATATTAAAGTCTTTCTCTTCCACCATTTTATCTCGATACACTCTATTTGACTCATGCAGATAAAGCTTTACTAGTTCTTCTGTAGTTTTCACACATTCCACTGAGGAGAAGAGAATGCCCTTTATGTAGAACAGACAAAAAAATAACATTAATAACAATTTAAAATTACAACCATAATTTATTGAAGGAAGTCATACAATAGATTTTGGCCTAGATATTTTTCACACAAAATTCATAAAATAATCACAATAGAGCCCATGACATAGAAGGTGAGGTGCATTCCTTGCAAGTAGTCAACCCCAATATTGTCCCTAGAACACAAATTATTCTCTGAGTACTTACCAGGAGTCACTCTTGAGTGAACAACCAGAAGTAATCCTTGAACATCGCCAGATGTGGCCCATTCTCCCCCCCCCCCACAGAAACCTCTCCAAAAATAATAATGATCATGATGATCTACAGGTTTACTATATCCATTTTGTGTAACATGGGGTTTAGAATTCACAGTGAAGCATGCTCTGTGTCATAAAATAAGTGGCTTAAGCTTAAACTCATGAGTTTTGAAACCAAGTCCTCCTGACTTAAGAGACTGGTATATTCACCACTTATTACACATCACAAGAGTTAGGGAAGGAATAGCTTCTTTGCTACACTTAAATTCCATCGCGATCATGATCATCCTGTTGTTCATTGATTGCCTCGAGCAGGCACCAGTAATGTCTCCTTTGTCCTAGTCCTGAGATTTTAAAAAGTGCCATATTCAAGGCTCTTTCAGGGTTAGGAGAATGAGACCCATCATTGTTACTGGTATTTGGCATATTGGGTATGTCATGGGGAATTTACCAGACTCTGCCGTGTGGGCAGATTACATTGGTAGCCTGCCAGGTTTTCCAAAGCAAATTAAATTCCATAAGTGCCATTAAAAATTATTCTATAAATGAGTACAGTCATTCTATATCTGTACCTTTCCTGGCTGTGTGTGGGTGATGGGAGGAATACTGGGGGTGGGAAATGTACACTGGTGGAGGGTTGGGTATTGGAACATTGTATGACTGAAACCTGATCATGAAAGCTTTGTAACTGTGTATCTAAGTGATTCAATAACTTATTTTAAAGGGTGAATGACAGAAGGTTTACTTGGAGAGATACAGGGATGAGTTTGGGGGAAATCAAGAGATGATTTCAAATACTACAAATACATCTGTATTTTGGAGGGCGGTAGGTTCACAATGTAAGCTGAATCACTGTGTTTTATGTCTTTGAGTTTTATAAATAACTTTCCACTTTTTTTTTTTTAACTTTCCACTTTTATCATAAAAAACTATTCTAGGCTTATGTTGCTTATATAAAATAAGAATAATGAAAGAACACTAATGAACATAGCTAATCTTTCCCTGTTATTTTCTTCTTTTTTATATTGCTTAGAACTTTTTCCAAATCATTACTATTATTTTAAAATATTTATGTCAATTCTATCATTATTGATCATAGCTTTCTTTGTTATGGAAAAAAACAGACTACCAAGACTTTAATTCATTATTAGCTTAATCAAGTCCTGTAATTTCAAACTTATCTACATTTGTTACCATGACTTTCTTGTCACAAAGGAAAAGTGATCATTAATGGTTTCCCATTACTAACAGAATAATGCTCAATTTATTCAGTAAAACATGCAGGTCTTCTTTTTCCATCACTCTTGCCACCATTTATAATAGAGTTTATGATTTAGTTTTATAAAATCTAAATTATTTACTGATCCTACACACTTTTCATGCCTTTATACTTTACTTGCATTTTTTAGATGTGCTCAATTTGTGTTTCTTTGTTACTTTTCTCTAACACATTTGCCCATCCGACTCAATCTTTTTAATATGTGGTACATAGTTATTTATATTTAGATGCCTGTTACAGAAGGATTATTCACTTGATCACTTGATATCCCATTACTCATAGATTGCTCGACCAGGCACCAGTAATGTCTCCATTCATTCCTGTTGCATGCTACCATAGCCCAATGGCATCTGTTCGTTCTAGGAACATGAAGAGTCTCAAACTGATCATTCAGGATCTTGACGAAGAAGTCTGACCATCTTGTAGGTGGGCATCTATGCGATCTTTTGATGTCCTGTGGAGTCCAGTCGGTAATGGCTCTAGTCCAGTGGTTGTCTCTAAATCTCATTATGTGTCCAGCCCATCTGGTTTTCGATGCCTTGGCAAACTAGACAGCGTCCCTGATTCTTGAGTATTAACGGAGGTCAGAACTCCGGATTCTATCTCCCATTTGAGTGAAGCATGATACTCTAAGCATAGCTCTTTTGATTCCTCTTTAAGAGACCCGAATAGTGTTCTCATCCTGTTTTCATAGGGCCTGGGTCTCTGAGGCATATGTTAATGCAGGAAGAACAGTGGAATCGAAGAGATGTGCTCGGAGCAGGAGGTTCTTTGTCCTCTTAGCTATTTCTTCAACACTTTTGAAAGCGTTCTAAGCCGCTCTCTTCCTCCTGCTCAACTCAGGTGCCAAGTCATTCGTCATGTTGACTTCTCAACCTAGGTATATATAACTGTTGAATTCGGAGATGGTTGTTCTGTTGAGAGTGAATGGAACGTCAGGGACAGGACTGTTTCTCATGAACATTGTCTTTGTGAGATTCAGCTGTAATCCGACCTTTCCACACTCATGGTCGAAGTCGGTCAGCATTTGTGCAGCTTGGCTGATGTTTGATGTTATTAGAACGATGTCATCAGCAAAGCAGAGGTGGTGTAGTTATTGACCATCTATCTTCACTCCCCTTCCTTCCCATTTTAGTCGTCGCATGATGTTCTCGAGGGTGGCACTGGAGAGTTTCAGTGAAATAGTATCACCTTGCCGAACCCCTCTCTTGACATGGAAGATCACTTCTTTGTAGAATGGTGAGATCCTGGTAGTGAATCCATAATACAGCTCACAGAGGATCCTGATGTATTGAGTTTGAATGCCCTAATTGGCTAGGGCTTTGATGACCGCTTCTGTCTCAACAGAATCAAAGGCCTTCTTTAAATCAATGAACGTTAGACAGAGTGGCATCTTGAACTCCTGAGAAACCTCAATGAGCTTAGTTATGTGGATATGATTGATGTTGCTGAATCCTTTTCAGAACCCGGCTTGCTCGCATCGTTGTCCTTCATCTAGTGTTCTGCCAATCCTATTCAGGATGACTCGAGTGAACAGCTTGTAGATGACAGACAATAGGCAGATTGGGTGATAGTTGCCAATGTTGTGGATGTCTCCCTTCTTGTATAATAGTACAGTCCTGCTGTTTTTCCATTGGGATTGAACCTTGCATTCAGACAGGTAGCTTGTGAAGAGCCGAGTCTGTCTACTGATGAGTACTGATGGCAGGTTTTTAAGTTGTTCAGGTCTGACCTTGTCTGGGCCAGGTGCTCTTTGTTTCTTTACCGATGAGGTGGTGTGTTGGATATCAGAAGGGAGAACATTGGGAACGACATATCCATCTTGTGGAATTTGGTATGTGGGCAGGTGGATGTGGCTATTAAAGAGATCTGAGCAGAAGTCATGAATAATCTTCTCCATTGACCTTCTGGAAGATGTGATAGATCCATCAGGATGTCAGAGGGCAGTCATCTTGGTTTTGTAGTTGGTGAAGGACAGGCAGGCATTACGAATGCTTTTCCCGGCTTCTGCCGCATCTACCAGCACTGCTGCTCTTCTGTCTTTGAGGTATTCCTTGATCGCGTCTCTGCACTGTTTTGCAAGCTCAGATGTTTGCTTGTGGTTGCCTGAGGCATGTGCCAAGCCACGTTGGCGAATAAGCTCAAGAGTGTTCTAAGACTGTGGAAGGATTATTAGTTTTTGAAATTATTTTTATCAGTATAAGATTGCTTCCAGATCAGGGTGTCTCATAGATACAAAAAAAATGAGAGATAATTCATTTCAGATTAGTTTTTTTTTTATCATACTACTAACACTTAGCACAGTGACTTATTTATACCTGATTTTAAGTGAATGCTTATTGAAAGAATAAATGTACTAATTCTGAATATTTAAAGATAACAAGAACCTTCATTAATGTTTGTATTTTTCATAATGATGTAATAGCTGATCGTAGACCAACTCATTGGGGCTAGAACAGAAAAAGTGGGACATTTATATTTAAACTGCATATTTATAGAGATGGAAGGAAGGTAGAATGCTGGGAATGACATATCAATCCTGCGAAATTTGGTATGTGGGCAGGTGGACTTGGCTATCGATGAGATCCAAGCAGAATTCATGGCTAATCTTTTCCATTGCCCTTCTGGAAGATGTGATAGATCCATCAGGATGTTGGAGGGCAGTCATATTGGTCTTGTAGTTGGTGTAGGACAGGCGGGCATTGCGGATACTTTTCCCAGCTTCTGCCACATCCGCCAACTCTGCTGCTCTTCTCTCTTTGAGGTCTTCCTTGATCGCTTCTCTGCACAGCTTTGTGAGCTCAGATGTTAGCTTGCGATTGCCTGAGGCTCGTGGCAAACCACGTTGGTGAACGAACTCAAGAGTTTCCAAAGACAGGCATCTTTTTGTGGCTTTCTCTCTCTCGGCATTCCTCACACAATCATGGAGGTGCTGAACCAGTCAACCCTATTCCTTGTTGATGTTGTCAATGGTGACATCTACCCATATTGCTGCAATAGTGCCAAAGAGCTCCCAGTTGGTGGTCATTCTGGGAGTTCTCTCCTTGAACTGTGCAGCCCTTTCTCCCCACTTTGTGAAGTATAATTTCACATGTAGGAGACGGTGGTCTGATCCCATGTGGAATTTTGGGACAACAGTGACATCAGTCAGGCAAAACTGTTGATTGAATATGATGTGATTAATTTCATTGTGGAAACTATCTATCAGGGGACTCCCATGTCCAACGTTTAGAGTTGGTGTTCTGGAACTGCAAGTTACTATAGATGGTCTTGGTCAATATGATGAACTCAGACAGTCTTTTACCCTGTTCATTCCATTCTAGGCCGTGGGTCCCAATGTGGAGTTCTTTGGCGACCTTCTTGAACCTATCTTGGTGTCAAAGTCACCGACAATGACCTTTTAAAAGATGTGGTCTTCTTTATAGAACTTCTCCAGCTCCATATAGAACTTCTCAATTTCTTCTGCATCGCTCTTGAAGGCATTCCACACTGCTCTCTGATTTGGGCTTGGAATGCCTTTAAGAGCGTCACAGAAGTTTTTAAGAGGACAAAGAACCTCCAGCTTCAGGAACATCTTTTCGACACCACCATTCTTTCTGCACGCCTCAAAGACCTGGGCCCTATGAAAACAGGATAAGAATGCTACTCAGATATCTCAAAGAAGAATAAAAAAAGCTATGCTTGGAATATCACGTTTCACTCAAGTGAGAGAAGGAATCAGATGTTCTGACCTCTATTGACGATCAAGAATCAGGAACGCTGTCTCGTTAGCCAAGGCATCAAAAATCAGATGGGCCAGACACGTAATGCGATTTAGATATGACTGCTGGACTAGAACTGTTACCAACTGGATTCCACAGGATGTCAAAAGAACACATGGCCGCCCATCTATGAGATGGTCTTTGTCAAAACCCTGAACAAGTGGCTTGAGGCTCTCTGTGTTCCTGGAGCAAGCAGATGCCAATGGGATACACTAGCATGTGACAGGGATGAATGGAGACATTACAGGCGCCTGCTCGAGCAAATCGATGATCAAAGGGATGACAAGTGATATAAGTGACATATAGAGACATTAGAAACTAAAGAAGACAGTGAGAACTTTAGAGACTAAAGTAGCAGAGAGGAAAGAATAGAGATAAACATAAATTTGGCATCTTTTTCCTTCTTCAGACATTTGACATAAACAGTGTATAACATATTCAGGAACTGAAAGTGTAGAGATATGCGAGAAATTAAAATGCTGAACAACTTTTTCTTGTCTTGTGGAATAGGGAGGATAAAAATTGTCAAGAAGGGGGCCATAGATAAAAATTCTAAGAGATCCATGAATGAATCAATCATAAATCATTCAGTCCTCATAGTACTGAAACCCAACTTTAAACTCTTCAGTCTCTGGTAGTTTTCCTCCACAAGCAAAAGTATATATTTTTCCGAAGGAAAACATAATTATTTACGTTCAAGTTATTTTCAAAAATTAATATTTTAAAATTCATAATGTTCTTATTAAATAAAAATTATTGGGAACACTAGAAGCAGAGGGAAAGTCATCAAAAATAAGATTTAACAAATCAATGATTATTATATCCAAGAAATTATATGACAAGAATTTCAGAAAGAACTTGAATTTTTAAAAGTGAATCAAATAAAAATTTTCAAATAAAAAACTTACCCCAAATTATTGTGATTGAAATTAATAACAATAAGTGGGGGTAATAGCAGAATAGACCAGATTCAAAGGGAATTAGTAAAAGCACTAGAAAAACAGCCAAAGAGAAAGTGCAGCGGTCATCCACCTATTTTGAACTCAAGTTCTTGCAATGTATATCATTCCCCAAGCCCTACCAAGAGTGATTTTGAGGGCAGAGTTAGGGGTAATCCTGAACATTGCCAGGTATAGACCGTCGCCCCCTCCACATTACCCCTAAACAACAAAATTAAATTAAAACACACTAGCACAACTGAAAACTCCCAAGAAAAGGCTAACAGAAAAGGAAAGAAAAGAAAAAAACGGTACACATAACCCATACACAGAACAAAATAGAGATATCAGATATCATATATGTAAAAGATAATAGGTATTATAAATGCTTCTATGTCAGGAAATTAGAAATATTGATCACATAAATATTTCACCATAATAGCACAGCTGGTAGGGCATTCGCCTTACAAGCGGCCAACATGGCCGACCCGAGTTCGATTCCTCCACCCCTCTCGGAGAGCCCGGCAAGCTACTGAGAGTATTCGATATGCCAGAAAGTAACAACAAAGTCTCCAATGGAGACGTTACTGGGCCCGCTCGAGCAAATCGACGATCAACGGGAGGGCCTTTACCTAATAGATACAATAGATACATAAGAAATCTATTTGAATGAATGATGAATTGATGAATTATTTTACATCTGTTAAAGAAATTGAATTCATAATTTAAAATCACTAGCAAAAAAATCCTAGATGGTTTCACCAGTAAATTATTCTGACATTTAAGGAAAGCATGTCATAATATCTTACAAAACCTTCTAGAGAAAGAAGAGAGTATTCCTTAGTGAATTTTATGAGGACTTACAACTTTTGTCTATTATACAGAAATTTATAAGTTACTATTATACTGGTTTTGGAACCACGCCAAATGGAGCTCAGGATTTATACCTGGCTCTTATGTTTAGGGATATGCAGTGCTGGGGATACCCCTGTACTTTCTCTCTAGTCCAGGATATTATACACAGACACAGACACAGACACAGACACAGACACACACACACACACACACACACACACATATATATATATATATAACTATTTGGAAAATACCAAGTAAAATCTAAAAATATGGAAGTATTTTAACTACAATAACCAAACTAGACTGATTTCAGGAATGTAAATTTGATCTAGCATTAAAAAATAATGTAATTGATCACATTTCCAGTACAAAGGAGCAAATGCTAGCACATTTTTGTGTAATATGTAATTCAATAGCTGCAAAAATATTATTTGTGAAGTTTCTATACAAATGTATTATTAAAAAACTCAGTAAATAATAAAGAAAAATGTTCTTATACTTTCTATCTCAAAGAATTTTCATATGCATAAATCATACAGGGGACAATGTGTCTGTCCAGGTATTACAATGATTGACTCTGGAATAAGAGTTCATCTCCTCTTCAACCTGCAGTTTTGCCTTTATGAGCAATAAAAATTTGATCAAATAACCTTAACTACTTTTTTTCTTCTCTAATTTTGAACACTCACTCAATTCTCTTCATGTTGACATTTCCCTACAGCTGTGCCCTTTTTGGTAAAAGTTATCTTAGCTTTCATGAAACTTGAAAAAGATGTTTCAGCTGATTATTGTCCTAGATGGGTGAATTGTGAACTTCAGCATATGAAAATTCTATGTTTGACCAGGGTTTGCTACCTTGCCCTCTGAACATTTGGTAGTGAAGCTCCAAGAAATTGGAAACAAAGACCACAGATGGCATCGATATTCAAACAAATGTTAAGAGGAGTTGAAATGAATTTCAAAGTGAACCTAGGATTCTTAGGACTGAGGTATCAGTCCTAAGGGACTGGCAAATGGTGTGTTACATTAACAGCGTGGCTTACTCAAGAAATAAATATATTTTTGGAATACATTTATTTTACTTCAAGAATACAAAAATAGATGGGCTGAAAAATAACACAGAATTCAGGGCTGAGTGCCTTGTATGTGCAAGGACCCTGGCTTAATTATTGGCACCGCATAGATCTTCCTTCACTACCAGCACTGTAAGGTGTAGACCCGGAGGCATTGAGAAGCAAAAGGCTTGCCCTGGTGGCTCCTGAGCTTTGTAGTGGCTATTCTGGTCCCTCTCAGCCTGGGAGACTGAGTAGAGATGACACAAAACCTTGCAGCACCAAACAAAATAGTTTTATCCTTTATTCAAAAAAATAAATGTCATTTGCTTTTCTACATATACCTGCTAAGATCATTCATTATATAACCATCCCCAACATGCCAATACTTTCCTAGCCTTAAAGAAACAACTCAGAACTGTATTCCGCATACTGGGACATTATGTAATAAGTAACTAATGCTATTTCTATGGGACCAAGCCCCAAGGAACCCATGGCGCTATATTCATTTGCATTCATGACTCCAAAGGAAATGTGCTTTCCCCCTAAGAGTTTGGCTTTATAGTTTAACCATGATTGTGAGGACTCCAATCACTACTAATCCTAGTAAGGTATCTTGAAGCAGATGGACTTACCTGGAAAATATTGGCGAAGTCTCTGAGATTGAAGATGTAATGGAATTTGATTGCTGTTGGCAAGAATGTCGTGGTGATTTTCTGGTGGAAGGTAAGGGCAAGACTGATCATCTGGGGTATGGATTTGTGCAGTGATGCTGGGAAGTTGCCAAACTTTAGGTGCTGGGCAAGGATGGTGCTGTAGATGGTAGAGAGAGCCTCAGCTCCGGGGAAGGAGAGGACGAATACACTGAAGTGACGCTGCAGGAGGAAAGAGCATGCCGAGGAAGTCAGAATTTAGACATAATCATTACAAAATAAAACTTGCGTTTTCTGGATTTGGATAAAATGACAAAGAACTGGGGTTTAGAGAGATTGTACAGCAGGCAGGGAACTTGTCTTGCCCATGGCAAGCCTGAGTTCGATCCCTGACATACGATATGGTCCCTTCAGTCCACGAGCAGTGATCCCTGGAGTGAAGAGCCAGGAGTAAACCCTAAGTACCATTTGGTGTGCCCCAGAAATCCCCCAAATAACAAGGAATACTTCTGGGAGAGGGGAGGGGAGGGTTTGGGCCAGGCATGGCCAGTACTCAGAGTCTAGTCATTCTTGGCTCTGTGCTCTGGAATGACCTCTGGCTGTGCTTTGGGAATGAGGTTGACTATAAACTAGACAAACATCTTACTTTCTATATGATCTCTCTGGGCCAAAGGTAACCTATTTTTTGTCTGCTTGTTTGTTTATTTTGGACGACTCTCCTGTTTAGGTGCTTGGGTACTGCTCTTGGCAGCATTTAGGAAATCATGAAGTAACAGGAATTGAATTCTGGTCATGTGCGTGCAAAGCATGGATGTTTTGTTATCTCTCTAGCTCCAATGAATTCTCATAAGGATTTTGAATGCTACATTGTGGCCACAGTGTTTCACAATTAACTGAATCTTAAAATAAACCTACAATGGGGTAGTTGCACTCTTGGTCGAATAAGCTAGTGCAAAGACATGAACATGAACTCAGGTCATCTGAGTTCAAGTATGATAATGTTTTTTATTATTTAATGACTTTGGGAGAGCCCTCTCTCTGAGATTTTCTCATTATGAAGACTCACGTGAATCTCACACATTTTAGATCTAATTCAGCAATGAAAGACTCTGAGATTAGAAGTTTCACTGACCTTTAGGAATACAGTTCAGAATCCTGCGACATTTATTATAATTTAAGATACTAGACAAGGGAAGGAACAATTCATACCTATAATCAAGTGAGATTAACCTTAGCAAGATACTTAGGTTTCACGCCTCCTCATACCTGAAGTCGTGGGTTGATAGTAAAGCTACCTGCAGTCGGGTTCATACAGGAAACATACTGAACATTCCTGATCTCCTTCAGAGACAGCTTGTTCCGATCATACCTGCAACAGCCAGAAACCAAAGGTCAGAGAGGTTGGAAAGTCTAGCAAGATGTCCTGTCAATGTGGGTGAAATATGTCCTGCCATTCCTGTGTCAGGGTGAGAAAAAATATCTAGATTCATTGATGGAGATTGAAAAGACACAATAACTATATTGAAAAGAACATGAGGGGTATAAAATATCTATAAAAATAGCACGGGAAGAGCATAACCTCCAAACAGACAAAAATGTAGGAGGAGTATCAGAGGTATGTGACTAAAGAAATAGTATTTCCAAAAGAAAAAAAAATAGTTTCATATGGCAAATGCGATAGGGGAACACAAAGAACTATCCTAGTAGGGTCTGCTGTATCTCACAGTAAACATAGAGTTAATGCTGAGAAGTAACAGCTCAATTAAGTTTAGAAAAATATGTATAAAACTATAGTTGACTGGGGAGGTGAAAATAAAATATAGAAATTGGGTTATGTTAGTAAAGAGAGACAGAATCATACTTAAATTTTTTTCTTTAGTTTTGGACTACACCCAACTATTCTCAGGAATCACTACTGGTCAAGTGCTCGGGTATCATATGTTATTCCAGGTATCAAACAGGTGAAGGCTGCATGTAAGGCAAGCAGCTTAAATGCTGTACTATCTTTCTAGCCCAGTGCAGGTGTTAAGGTGCTTATCTTATGATGGTAACAATAATGATAAGACACTGAATATCTTACTTTGCATATAACTGGTCACAGTTTGATCCTATTACTGCATATGATCCCCTGAGTACCAGGAGGACTTATCCTTGAGCACAGAGCCAGGAGTAAGCCCTGAGCACCACCGGGTGTGGTCCAACATACCCCTTCCAATTTTTTAAAAACATGGGAGAAATTTATACAGGTGTAAATGTTAGAGTCATTTGGGATAGCTTAGTTGATGAAATAAAGATTTCAGGAGGTAGAAAGAGTAGACTCAAGATGCTAGTTGATGGGTAAGTCTCAGGGCAGATAAAACAGGTAAGGGATAGGATACTTGGGGATGCAAGTCAGTTGTGCAGATATAGGAGCAAATAAATGGAAACTGCATCTCTATTTTCTGTGAAGGGAAGATCACTGGCTGACATATGGTAGGAAATTTGATCAGAGAAATTATGAAGTAGATATTTTTGAGCATAAACATGTGTAAAAAACTACTGTCAAAAATGGTAGATTTCCAGAAAATTTTTACTTTCTAAGTTTTGTGATCATAAATATAGAAGAAATAAAAACTAATTAGCCACTTCTATTTTCCCAGTCTAGTTCAGCTGCTAAAATATGTGTGGATATTATGGATGGTTCTATATTCCAGGCATTCAATAAAACTTTGTTTATATCATAACTACAATTCTTCTCTTTAAATTCCTTCCTCTTACTCCCACTCTTTTCTCCACAACAAACCGAGTAAAAGTTTAGAAGTGAATAAAAATTATCACAAATCTTGTTTTCTTTCCATGAGAAATTCAGACTTTTTTTTTATTGAAACATCTTAAATGTTTCACCTGTCCTGGGTTCTTTGGGACCCTGGTATAAGTCAGAGAAGTGGTTAATTGTGTTACAGAGGCTCAGAGAAGGCAAATTTTGAGATGAATAAAATTTCATCTAACCCCACTTAGATGAGATATTACTAGCTTCTCTGGCGAAACTCTTCATGTGTGTAATAATGTCCCCATATATAAAAGAATACACCAAGAAAAATCCCATGAGGAATGTAGTTTGTCACCGGGATTTCTATTAGGCACCACATTCTTCCTTAGATCTTTCCACGGTAGTCCCAGTCTCTCTCTGCAGACTCTCACCAGTGTCCGTAGTCCAGGTGTTGTCGGATTATAGTGTGGGGTTGCACCGTCCCGTAGGCGTCCACCTCTGGCATGTTCATATCATCAATGAAATATATTAGCTTTTTATTTCCAGGGGGCCCATAATTTCTACCAGCTTTCTTTTCTAGAGGCTTTTCCAAGACAGCTGGAAAAAAAATACATTAGGAAGGGAAAAGGGTTATAGAATAGGTTTGGGAAGGACAAGCATTGCATAGTATTCATGCACATGTGAACAGCAGGATCTACTGCTAGATTCAGACATTCAGCAGGACCAGAAAGTGAAATTGGAAATCATTAGTCAATGATGGTAACAATAATGATAAGACACTGAATGTCTTACTTTGTGCATTATTTGTCTTTTACAGTTATAATCTTCTTTAATGCTTATTACATTATTTCAAGATTAGTATTACTTTACCAATTATAGATTACAGAACCAACACTCAGAGAAGGAAGTAACTTTTCTAGAGTGGAATTCAAAGAATTTAAATTTAAGAGTAGGTACTCTTCATTATATATGCCCCTAGTATTTTTTGTTTACAGACTGAAATCAGATACAATCTTCACCATCCCAAGGCCTAGAACTCTTTCTCTAAGGAAATCTGCAAAAAAATCTGAGCTTGGAAAACCCTACTGTCTGGACAGAGGAACAGAAATGCTGTGAATTTTGCTGTGGGAAGGGCAGAGACTCCTTCCTCTCCTCAGTTATATGAAAAAATTGCTGGATCTTTTGCCAACAGTTTTCTCTGAGTTTACCTCCTGGTGTTTCTCCTGAGGAATAGTAGAAACAGAATCTCAGAGAATTTCCCAAAGCCACTTAGTATCATGAACTGAACCACTTCCCTGAAGTTTAAAGACCTCCTACCAGAGCATCTCAGTGACTTTCTGGAGATGAAAGTACTGACTCCTTTTGAGCTCTTTCTTCAATTTTCCAGCCAGAGGCAAAGAATCAAATAGCATTGTTTAGCATTTTCTAGCTTGACAGGACTTGTTTTGAATAAAGTAAGAAGATAGAGTTATATGTTTTTTAAATTCAATAAAGCGATTGCGATTGCAAGTATATAACTAGATATTTTTATATTGCAAGAACCACATTTCCTATTACAGCTAGGAGCTCTAAGAACCATCTGATTTCCTTTCTTGAAAAACAAGTTTGTAAACAAGGACAAAGTGTCAATAGACATATGAAGGTGACAGATAGAAAGACAAGTTCCTTCAAGAAGCTTGAATATTCTAATTTTCTGGTCCTGAGTTAAATTAAGTATTTCAAATATGAATTAAATTTAAATTTAATTAGCATCCAATTAACATACAGCATCAACCAATTAATAACTCAACACATTCTATCCCCCTCAAGATATAACTATACAAAAACTGTCAACATAAAATATAATTAATGGGCTGCCAAGGACAGTGTGTTTTGAGAACAGTTCTTCAAGTAGGAAATTCTGTCCTTAAGAATTCTTTTTTTCTCCTTCTTCCAAAGCAGTGATACAAATCAATCCCTGACATTAAGTAGACCCTGTGATTTTGGATGATTATGTACTTTATGTTTCTAAAGGACTGTTGAGCAGAAAAATATGACAGTTAGCAAGAAGTGACTTTTGAATGCACTGGAATATTCTAAATAGATTAGGGTAAATTCCCTCTCGAAAAAGAGGACTATCCCACAAAGGACTCATATGGCTTTGATCTCTTCTTGGTTAGGCTGTGTTCCAAGCCATGTCTAGGATGGGGATGATTCTGTTCCCAGGCAGAACAAGAGAATGTGTAGCAGATGAAATTCCAATGAACATGGTCATATTGAAAGCGGCAAACACATAAGGCACAGAGGAGTGTGACCCTTCCTCACATTAATGGTGTCTACTTCATCACAAATAGGTCCTGAGCATGAAGTCTATTCCTGAGTGCAGTTATATGTCATTTGCACCAGCTCATCAGGTTTCTTCATATGGGACAGTCATGATCTGGCACTTGGCTCTGCCATGTGGAGCAGTACAAGCTGACTTCAATGTTTTATTTACAGAATTCCTCCTACACTGTTTTACCATTATCATACATTTGAAGATAAATTTTAGTTTCAAACTGGGTTCCCATTTTTGTCTCATTTTGCTGTCTATTGATATCACCCTATCTCATTGGCTCTTACTTGGTAACTGACATCCTCCAAAATGGCCTTTCCACTTTTACTCTAGTACTTCATGAGAGATTTAAAACTGTAGAAGGGAATCCTTGTAAGACAAAAATCATATTATACCAGTCCCTGGCTTAAATCCTTCCAATAATATTCCCTCTCACTTGTGATAAAATTGGCCTGGATTTATGTTTGTTCCTCTGAGTTAGTTTTTCATTTCTCCGTGATGCAACCCTGCTTCTGATGCACACTTGCTGCCTTATTGCCCTTGTTCTATTTATTTATGTATGGACTATTTTCCTCCTAAATGGCAACATAACCAGCTCTCTTATTTCCATCACACATTGTTTACTTAAATGCCACTTTCTCAATTAGTCCTTCTTTGGCTCTCAACCTAAAATTGAAGACCCTGCTCTCTATTTGTTTCATTTTTTTCCAATACATTTATCAACACTTGAGATTCTATGTTTATTACTTATTTAGTTGTCTTACTCCCATTATACTTTAAATCTGTGAGAACAATATTTTTTGTGTTTCTTTGTAATTGTCATAACCCTAGATCATTATCTCGTACAAAGTAGCACTGCACTGTAGCACTGTCCTCCCATTGTTCATTGATTGGCTCGAGCTGGCACCAGTAATGTCTCTGTTGTGAGACTTGTTACTGTTTTTTTTGGATATCAAATACATCACGGTTAGCTTGCCAGGCTTTGGCTTGCTGGTGCGATACTCTTGGTAGCTTGCTGGGCTCTCTGAGAGGAATCAAACGGGGGTCGGCCAGGGTTGGCTGTGTGCAAGGCAAGCTCTCTACCCACCGTGCTATCGCTCCAGCCCAGTGTGTCAGAGTGGTCTAAGGACATCAGACTCAGGTTTCTACTTGTACAAAGTAGGGTACTCGAAATATAAAGAATGAATGGGGGTGGCCAGAGTGATAGCACAGCAGGTAGGGCGTTTGCCTTGCACACTGCCAACCTGGGTTCAATTCCAGGTCATCCCATACCCCAAGCGCCACCAGGAGTAATTCCTGAGTGCAGAGCCAGGAACAGCCTCTAAGCATCGCTGGGTGTGACCCCTCCCAAAAAAAAAAAAAAAGAAATGAATGAATCTTATTATTTGAACAAATACCATTACTAGAGAAACAGACTCAGTTTTCCTGATTTTGTAATTAAGAAAATAGAGGTTAAATGTTTTTCTAGAACTAGAGCCAGGTCTATAAATGAATTATAAAATGCTTCTTAATTAAAATGATTTATATGTGTATTGAAAATATTTTCCTTTTGTAAGTAAGTAGTAAGTAAGTAAGTAAGTAAGTAAAGGCCCTCCCGTTGATCATCGATTTGCTCGAGCGGGCCCAGTAACATCTCCATTAGATACTTTGTTGTTACTGTCTTTGGCATATCGAATATGTCACGGGGAGCTTGCCAGGCTCTGCCATGCGGGTGAGATACTCTCGGTAGCTTGCCAGGCTCTCCGAGAGGGACGGAGGAATCGAACTCGGGTCGGCCATGTTGGCTGCGTGCAAGGCAAATGCCCTACCGCTGTGCTATCTGTTATTAATGTGTTGAGACTTTTTAGTTATATTTTAGGGCTTTGAATTTATTATTTCAAAGCATGATTTTTATGGTCAAAATTAATATATATTCATTATATAAAGATAATAATATGTTACAATGATGAAAATAAACTATAAATCTATCAAGAAAGTATTAATCTTAATCAGAGAAAGTACCAAAGGAAAGTAACATGTTTATTCACATGTGGCCAACCCTGATTTAATCTCTGACACTGTGATATGATCCCTTGACCACTGGTCAGGTAAGCACAGCACAGATGTAGATCCTGAGCACCCCCAGATATTCCTCTCCAAACCAAACCTCACTGAAAATAAGAAATAAAAATGCATTACTCTCAATTGTTTGTGTATTTTATTTTAATCTGTTTGTTATGTTATATTTTTATGAAATAAAAATTATGATGCATATTATTTGGGCTGGAGCAATAGCACAGCAGGTAGGGCATTTGCCTTGGACGTGGCCAACCTGAGTTCAATTCCTCCGGCCCTCTCTAACAGCCCAACAGGCTACCGAGAGCATTCTGCCCATACAGCAAAGCCTGGCAAGCTCCCTGTGGCATAATTCAATATGCCAAAACAGTAACAACAAGTCTCACAATGGAGATGTTACTGGTGCCCGCTCGAGCAAATTGATGAACAACGGGAGGACAGTGCTACAGTGCTACATACTGTTTTATTCATTTTGCACATTGTAAATCTCTATGCAATAATACATATCCTCTTAAAATTTGAATTTTAAATAAAAATATTATTCATTGTATCACTGTCATCCCGTTGTTCTTCGATTTACTCAAGCAGGCATCAGTAATGTTTCCATCATCCCAGTCCTGAGATTTTAGCAGCCTCTCCTTACTCATATTTCCCAACGTATTGGAGGCTCTTTCAGGGTCAGGGAACTGAGACCCATTATTATTACTGTTTTTAGCATATCGAATATGCCAAGGCTAGCTTGCCAGGCTCTGCCGTGCATGCAGGATACTCTTGGTAGCTTGCCAGGATCTCCGAGAGGCACATATATATATATATATATATATATATATATATTTCTCTATCAAATATGGTGTGATAATTATGGAAAATGGGTAAGGAGTGTCTTATGGTGTGTTGTGGGGTCCAGGAATATGTTTACTCATATGTGAAGCTTGCCTGAAAAGTGGCTTGAAGCATGATGGCAGTTGGGTAGTGGAGGTCAGCTGCCGGAGCTGGGTCGTTTGGGGCTGGGAGGGTTCTCACCTGCCCCCCTCTGGGGTGCCCCAAGTGAAAACAGCCTGATATCTCATGATAAATTAAAACAACCAAGCAAGTGAAGAGTTGGCATCAGAAATGTAAGGCAGATAAAGCAAGTAAAAATGTATTGAAAAGGTTTAAATTGGAAGATCAATGTGGTTGTTGAGCAAGATTTAAGATACAACACAGGAGAGAGATAGACATTATATTA